TCATGCCTGAAATCCCAGCTCTCTGGGAAGCCAAGAGAGGAGGAATGCTTGAGACCAGGAGTTCGAGACCAGCCTGGGCAACATAGCGAGACCCTGTCTCTACAAAAAATTTAAAAATTAGCCAGGAATGGTAGCACACAGTGTAGTCCCAGCTACTTGGGAGGCTGAGGTGGGAGGATCGCTTGAGCCAAGAAGGTCCAGGTTACAGTAAGCTATGATTGTGCCACTGCACTGTACCCTGGGTGACAGAGCAAGACGCTGTCTCTAATTTTAAAAAAAGAAAAGAATAAAGGTCTGAAATCAATAATCTAAGCTTCCACCTTAGGAAGCTGGAAAAGGAAGACTAAAACCCAGAGTAAACAGAAGGAAGGAAATAACAGAAAACAAAGAAATTAAAAACTGAAAAACTATGGAGAAATTAAATTAACCCCAAAGCTGGTTGTTGAAAGATCAATAATATTTTATAAACCTTTAAGCAAGACTCAGAAAAAAAAAATACCAGTGTTAAGAATGAAAGGGGGGTATCACTACAGCCCTGGGAGCATTATAAGGGTAAATAAAGGACTACTCTAAAAAACTATTTGTAAATCTAGCAACTTAAAATAAACCAATTCCTTAAGAATTAAACTACCAAAACTCATGAAAAATGAAATAGATAACTTGAATAATCTTATAACTGTTAAAGAAATTGAATTTGTAGTGGAAAATCTTCCAAAAAAGAAGCCTTCAGGGTCAGATGGTTTCCTTGGGGGATTCTACCAAACATTTAAAGACGGTGAAGCCTCAGTATCAGCCCTGGGTCTGGGCTTCAGGGAAGAGAGATTCTGGGTCCTTGATCCTGCCCTGCCCCATCCTTGGTAAGCTCCTGGCTTTGTTCCCTTCCCCCCAAAACCAGCACCCCAGGGCCATGCCCCTTGCGGGGTTATGAGTCATTCTGCTTTTTGTTCAGTTGTTCATTCCTCTGAACCTCCTACATGCTTGGGTCCGTGAAGGATGCAACATGAGTCTGCTTGGGTCCTTCCTATCTGAGAATTTATAGGGGGAAAAGGAAAGACAGGCTGGCAAATTAAACCTAGTAAGGTGCTTTGTAGTGAAAAAGCTTACGTAGAACCAGCTAGGTTCACTCTGCTTACACTTGCTTTCTTATTTAGATATTTATCTGGACTATGGATACACCATAAATCACGGAATCAGCCCTGTGTTGGAGGAATTTAGGCAATTCTAGTCTTTTGCTATTATAACTGTGCTGCGGTGAATATCCTTGTGTACAAGTCCATCTGCGCATGAAGGCGTATCTGTAGGTTAAATTCCTAGGAATGGAATCGTTGGGTCAATGAGTGTGTTTCTAGTTTTAGTACATAACACCAAATTGCGATCCTCAGAGGCTGTGACCGTGCCTGTGACTCTGGCCAACAGCGTCCTATAGTCCCTCCTCGTCCATGGGGGACTTTCCCAGACCCCTAGTGGAGGCCTGAAGCTGTGGATAGTGCAAGACCTATAAATACTACCTTTTTTCCTATACATACCTATGTATGATAGAGTGTAATATACAAATTAGGCACAGTAAGAGATTAATAATAATAAAATGGAACATCCATGCAAGAAACTGAAATGGCAGAAAAGGAAAATAAATATTTTTTAAAATTAAAAAAATTAATAAACAATAATTATAACAATATGCCAGCATCACTACTCTTGTGCCGGGGGACCATTATTAAGTAAAATAAGCGTTACTCGAACACAAGCACTGTGATACCTCGGCAGTTGATCTGACAGCCAAGACGGGGTGAGTCACGTCCTGGTGGGACGGTGTGCGATTCCATCAGGCTGCTCAGAACAGCACAGAATTTAAAACTTATCAATTATTTCTGGAAATTTCCATTGAATATTTTCGGACCAAGGTTGATCATGGCTAACTGAAACCACGGAAAGTGAAACCGTGAATAAGAGGGGACTGCTATATAATTAAACATTTTGCTCTTTTAGGCTAGGGCTTTTAGGCTTTATCTCATAAGCAATGGTATAAGCCTTTGAGAGGTTTTTTAGCAGGGGATGTACAATCAGATTTGTACTTTGGAGAGATCACTTGGGCTGCAGTGAGTATGAGAGTTTAGCAGAGGCAAAGACTGGAGTCATGGTTACCAATTACAAGGCTTTACAGCAGCCAGACAAGACAGAATTGTTGGCAGCTTAGATTAGGTAGTTGGCAGTGGAGCCAGAAGGAAATGGATATTGGGCTTAAGGAAGTAGATTCCGTAGAACTGCGGACTGGTCCCGTTGCAGGGAGAATGAGAGGAGTGGGGGCAGCTTTACTCAAGAAGTTCTGTCTTCAGGAGTCTCAACAGTAGCAGGCTGTGTGCAAAGTCCGCACTGCCTTTGTGAATTTATAGACCTACGTCTATATTGATACTTTATAATCCTAGAATAGCAGAAGGTGAAATAAGCTTCTGGTATGTTACTAATTGCTGTTTGTTGGCTCCAAGGCATTTTCATCTGTTAGTATCTGATTGTTGGAGAACGCAGAAGAACATTTTTGTTAACATTCTTCAGTTGGACTTACTCCTGATAGTCACCAAACTCTTTAGTTTCCCTGTATCCATACCGTTCATTCAAATTCCATATTCAATAAAGTAGCTTCAAATCCTGCACTTAATTTATATGTATTTTAATTGTGTACATTTTATTTTATTTGAGGAAAAGGAAAGAGAAGTTTATTAATTTGCTGGCAAATGAGGAGGGTGGCAGACTAGCATCTGAAAAGACCACCATCCTCCAATTATGTATATTTTAAAGTCTTTCATTATGTGGTCTGATTGCTTTGATTTCGTGTATGGTTCTGATATTTTAATATGTTTGCCTGTAGTAATTTATAATTTGAATTTGACACACTGCCATTAATTCTTTTATTCATTCTCTGTTATTTTTTATAATGAGCAACACTAAAGTGTTTCTGCTTTCTCCCGCCCTTCCCCCATTCATCTTCTCTCTCATATCAGCCTAAAGTTTTATTTCTAAGTGAATATCTTTGTGTAATTAAATAGCCTACATTTTTGTCACTTGGCTTTTCACCTTTGAGTCAATGTCTTTGGTTCCTGGACAGGTGGTGACATAAGCAAGGCACTATTCTGCATTGGGGCGTATCACACGGACATTCTCATTTGCTGCTCTACACCCCACTTGGCTTGAGTCTTGGCTCCTGCTCTTCTGTGTCAACATTAATATTTAATATTTGCTAATATGGTATTATAAGTGAAATATATTTAGTGCTTACCATCAATTCTTTCTCTGTGGTTTTCTCAGTCGTCTTTTTGTTGACTGAAGTTTATCCTCTGGTCGTTTCCTCAAGCAGAGCTCATGGGAACAATATTCTTTTCCGAGATCTGTCCTCCCCCCTCTTCCTCCAGCTCCACTGGTCCCCTTCCCACGTCTTCCACTTGATTTATACCCAGTCCCCGGCCCCACAGCCCTGTGGTATGTGCCGCCTATAGGCTTATCACTTTTAGGGGAGTCCTTCCTCTATGGTGCTAATAACCGTGTTTTTGTTGGCATGTTCTGAGACCTGCTGAGCTGCTTCTCGGTGTATTCCTACCCACCCAACCCCCCGCCCGCCCCTGTAGCTTTTGTGTCTCCTCCACCTCCCAATGTCTGCATCTGTCTGCTTTGGGCAGCCCTTATCCTTTTGTTCATTTGTATCTTTAGACTGTAGGTCTTATTTTCACTAACAATGGAGTTTGCTCTGTTTATTTCTTGTTTATTTTGTTGGTTTTGATGATAATCCAGGAGAAAATAGGCAAATTACTATCCTATGCCATTATATTTAGACAGGAAGTCTTTTATGATAATTATATATATATGTGTGTGTGTGTATATATATATATATATATTTTTTTTTTAAACAGAGTCTTACTCTGTTGCCCAGGCTAGAGTGAATGTCGTGGCGTCAGCCTAGCTCACAGCAACCTCAAACTCCTGGGCTCAAGCAATCCTCCTGCCTCAGCCTCCCGAGTAGCTGGGACTACAGGCATGCGCCACCATGACTGGCTAATTTTTTCTATATATATCAGTTGGCCAATTAATTTCTATTTATAGTAGAGATGGTCTTGCTCTTGCTCAGGCTGGTTTCAAACTCCTGACCTCGAGCAATCCACCTGGCTTGGCCTCCCAGAGTGCTAGGATTACAGGCGTGAGCCACCGCGCCCGGCCAATAATTATATTTAAATGGGTGGCATTGCAGTATAATCTTTATAGGGAAGAACATGGGATTTGGAGCTAGACACACCTGGCTCCTAATCTAAACTCTGCCACCTACCTTACTACCTGATAGTGGACACGTCACGTCCCTTCTCAGCATTGTTCTCTCTGGATGAGTGTGCACACTGTTGGGAGGAGCGAGGCGATGCGTGTGATATGTAGGAGCCGAGCGTGGTGCTTTGCAAACAGTAGATATTCAGAAGGGTGACAGTATAGCGTTTCTCTGAGTTCTTGGTGTAGGCGCCACCCATAAGTTTCATTAACCCTCCCTGTTGGGACGGCATCGTGTTATCGCCACTCACTCAGTGTTGCTGGTGGATGCTGTTCTTAGGTCATCATTGGGAGACCCTTTGGCACTCTCCTACCTCACCCACATTGCTATCTGGGGCCATGAGGGAAGGACAGACAGACTGCTCTGGGAGCCCTGGGGAGCACTGTCGTCCGAGGGCAGGGGTGAGGGTAGGGTAGCACAGGAGCAGGGTCTTTCGGGAAAGGTGGATTTCTTCAGGAAGAGGTGGGAAAGGCCACAGCTGGGCCTGGATGCTGGATATTCCCTAGTCCAGCTTCTGGATCAGAGATTAGGGTGGTGGCAGGGGGATCTGGGACTGTGTCGCGTCTGCCCACCAAGCCCCACCAGGATTCCCATCAGAGCAGATTTGGGCAGGGTCAGAGGAGGCTGGGATGCCAGGCTGGAAAGCGCTTCTAGTGTACATGCAGTTAAGTCCTTGCTTTTGTCCGCGTGTTCCCAGGTCCCGGAGTCCCAGGCAGCCATGGCTCCGACCGTGCCAGCCAGCAGCAGCTCTGACGTGGCCTCTGCTGGTTGTGGCACCTCCAGAAGTCAAGGTGCCATTGAATGTATGGATGTGGAAACCCAGGAGGACAGAAGAGCATCTGCTGACAAGGGGACGGGAGGCAAGAAGGATGTGCAGGCAGATGGGAAGGTGCCAGCGGACGGGAGGACCCGTGGAGACAGAGCACAGGCAGCTCAGAGGACACAGGCAGACGGGAAGGCGCAGGTGGATGTCGTGACACAGGAGCATGAGAGGCCACAGTCAGGCGGGAGCTCACAGAAGGATGCGGTGGTACGGGGAAAGGTGGAGACACAGGTAGAAAGGACACAGGCAGGTGAGAAGATACAGGAAGACAGGAAGACACAGGCAGATGAGAGGACACAGGAAGACAGAAGGGGACAGGAAGGACAGGGGACACAGTCAGAGGGGAGTGCACCCACAGCCACAGCCACGAAAGGTCAGCTGGAGCAGGAGGCCGTGACCAGCCCCAGCCCACCAGCCACAGGCCCTGGACTCCCACCTTCAGAGGGTCCTGCGTCTCCTCAGATCGTTGAGAATTTTACACAGACCCCAGAAGCGTCTTGTGTCCCCAAAAAACCTAGTTTCATGCTCAGATCTGAGGAGACAGCAGCCACAGCCTCGGGGAACCCTGAGGGAACCCTGTCAAGGAACCTCATGCTCCCAGCACAGCCGCCTCCCGAGGGGGGCGTGGAGCAGGTGGGAGGAGAGAGCTGTCAAGGGCCAGGGATGGCAGGGCCAGTCAAGGCCAAGCTGGAGGACAGCGCGTTCCAGCGCCCCACGGGGGAACAGCCAGCGGAGGCTCTGTGCGTGGATCTGGGTGGCTGTCCTCCAGCTGGCCTGCGCCAGGAGGCACCCACTGTGCCCTCTCTTCCCGGAACTGGCCTGACCAATAGCCCCAAGGAGGGGCTGCCCAGCGCCCCGACTTCTCAGCACGTGAGCACAGCTGCCTTCCTGCCCTCTGGGGACCAGGCCTTGCTGAGTTCTGCCTCCACACCGCACTTGGGGCCTGGGACCCCCAGCCAGAGTCACCCGCCAGAAACCATGGCCTCCTGCAATGAGGGGGCCTGCGCCATGGCACCCGATGTGGAGGGGAGGCCCCCAGGCCCCCGTGGCTGTGACCCCGGCCTCATAGATTCCCTGAAGAACTACTTGCTTCTGCTGCTAAAGCTATCCAGCACTGAGACGAGTGGAGCAGGGGCAGAGTCCCAGGCGCGGGCCGCCACTGGAGGTCTGGAGCCACCGTCCGCTCTGGTCCCCACCGTGGAAGTGGCCGGGCTGAGTCCCCGGACGTCAAGGCGCATCCTGGAGCGTGTGGAGAACAACCACCTGGTGCAGAGCGCGCAGAGCCTGCTGCTGAGCCCCTGCACCTCCCGCCGCCTAACCGGCCTCCTGGACCGCGAGGTGCAGGCTGGCCGCCAGGCCCTGGCCACTGGCCGGGGCTCCCAGGGCCCTGGCCTCAGCCCCCTCACTGTCCCTGCCATCGTGGTAGGTGAGGAGGGCCCTGGGCTGGCCTCAGAAGACAAGGGAGAGGTTTCTCTTGAGGGGCCCGGCCCCTCCCAGGAGAGCAGCATGGGTGGGCCACTGGGGGAGGCGGGAGGGCAGGCGGTCCCTGGGCAGGGCCTGCTCTCGCCAGAGGCCAGAGCCCAGGACCGCTCTCCAGAGGACGAGGTCCCAGGGGAGGCCCCGACAGGTCTCCCTGCAGCCACACCTGAGGAACTGGCTCTAGGGGCACGGAGGAAGAGATTCCTCCCTAAGGTCAGAGCAGCAGGAGATGGGGAGGCCACCAGGCCTGAAGAAAGGGAGAGTCCCACGGTTTCTCCCCAGGGGTCCAGGAAAAGCCTGGCGCCTGGGTCCCCAGGGACTCCGAGGCGGGAGAGATGCTCCCCTACCCAAGGCAGGAAGGCGGGTCTGCTGGAGGTGCCGCGGGTGGAGGATGAGCCGGCTGCAGACCTGGGCTCCAGCCCCAAGGCCGGGGGTCTGGACACAGAGCCGGCCACAGAGGAAGGCAAGCAGGAAGCCAAGCCCAGGAAAGCCAAAGACCTGCTGAAAGGTGAGCTGTGGGGAGGGGTGTGGCGCCGTGGGGAGGGGTGTGGCTTCGTGGGGAGGGCTGCTGAGAGGCCACCGACAGCACCCCCCACCAGGGATGACTCTCCTCTATTGGGGATTTATGAATGACCTCTGTAGTGGTATTTTTATCTCACAGCCTTTGGAATCCGAAAGACCTAGTTCTTGTCTTGGTTCCGCCACTCCATACAATGGGAATGACAGGACCACCCCGGACGTTGTGAGGCTAAACGGGGTAGGATAAATCAAGCACTCAGCAGGGCCTAGCGGCAGCAGCATTCAAGCTCTGTCATGGTCATCGCCACAACCCCCTCTTCCCAGAATCATCCCGAGATTACAGCCAGGGAGACGGGGTTCGCACGGGTTCGCATGCAGGTCTCTGGGTTAGGGGCCTGGAATACAAACGGAAGCTCCTGTCTTGACTGCAGTCTGTGCCCTCGGCTGCGAGCCCCTCCGGCCTGGGGCTGGGGCAAAGCGGCTTCTTTGGAGCCGAGATGTGTGTCGTGGGGTCGGGCGGAAGCTGACGGGCAGGTGGGAGGCGCTGGTGACTATGGCGTGGCAGGTTTGCGTGGACACTTGAATCCTGTTTTTTCGTAGCGTCTTCTGCTGTGGATGCCCAGGGAGGCAGGGCTGTGGCCAGACGGGGCACAGGATGGAAGGGAAGTGGTTTGGTCCTCTTGACTTGGCTCTGCTCTCAGCCCCACAGGTGATCCGGAAGATTCGGGTGGAGCAGTTTCCCGACGCCTCGGGTAGCCTGAAGCTCTGGTGCCAGTTTTTCAACATCCTCAGTGACTCGGTCTTGACCTGGGCCAAGGATCAGCGCCCAGTGGGCGAGGTGGGCAGGAGGTAAGCCCCCCAATACCACCTCCACCTCACCCGGCACCCTAAGTACAGTGATAGCGTCGGGCATTTTCCTAGCACTCTGAATCTGTTGCCCCGTCGAATCCTCACAATAGCCCTGTGAGGGGGATTCTAGTATTCCCATAGTCGAGATGAGAAAATTGAGGTCCAGAGGTCTTCAAGCCACTTGCCCAAAGTCCCACAGCTAGTAGGTGACAGGACCGCAAACCACACCTGCAGGATCCAGGACCAGCTCCTGCCCCCGGAATTTCGCTGCCTCCCCAGAGCTCTCAGAGCCTGGATTCACCGCAGCCAGTGAGGGTGGGGTCTGGGGACCCCAGGACCACCGTCCGGCCCTGTCTGTGACTCGGTGATGGCTTTCACAATAAGGGTCTCTTCTTCCTGCAGTGCAGGGGATGAGGGGCCGGCGGCCTTGGCCATCGTGCAGGCGTCCCCCGTAGACTGCGGCGTGTATCGGTGTACCATCCACAATGAGCACGGCTCGGCCTCCACGGACTTCTGCCTCAGCCCCGAGGGTGAGTTGCCCCGGCCTGCGGCTCCGCCCGGCCTGGCCCCTGCTGGGAGGCAGCGCCAGTTGCAGAGAAGGCTCTCTCGCTGGGCACGTCAGCCTGAGGCGGCTTCCTTTTCTTTTTCTCCACACAGTGTTGTCAGGATTCATCTCCAGAGAAGAAGGTGAAGGTACAGTGCCCCCCTGGGGAGGAGCGGTGGGCCTTCATCCCTCCTTGTCTGTCACCTGCAGGGAGGACCTTCTTTTAGGGCTTGGAATCTGGTCCAGATCCACACACTGCCTCTCTTTGCCTCCTAGTTTAGGGTATGGCTTTGGGAGGACAATGGAGGATGCTATCTCAGAAGACTGGGGGGGTCACTGCACCAGGAGTCATTTCAGCCTTGTGCCCTTTGCCCACATCAGATTCCTTGATGAAGGGCAGGATTGGCCACCAGGGCACATCTTATCCTGCCAGCTCCTACCCAGAGTTTGTCACCGTGGTCTCTGGACTTGTGCATTAGATTCAGACAGGGAGCCTGCTTAAAACACAGTTTCTTGGCCTCTACTGCAGATGTCCTTAATATCTAGGAAGGACCTAGGAACATTGCATTGTCAGCCAGCTCCCTTGTGACTTTGGAATACCTGCAGTGTTTGATGAGCATTTTAAGGGCTCAGATATTAGGGGAAGAGTCTATACTGCTCCTGCAACAGACATGCTAAAGGCTTGGGACTTTGAAGGCAGCCAATGATGAAAAGATTTTTAAAGCTTCATTTGCTAATTAATGCATTAATTCCTTCATTCATTCACTCATTCATCCAACTGGTGTCTTTTGTTATCAAATAATATAATCAATATCAAATAAAACCTCACAGCTAAAACCTTAGTAATAATTCTTTAATATCACCAAACATCCAATCATATTGCCCCAATTGTCTCGTAACTGTTGATTTATTTGAATCAGGAACCACTCATTGCTTTTGGCTGATACTGCCCAAGTCTCTGAACACGTAACAGTTTCTACTACTTCATCTGTTTTCTCTTTGCCATTTATTTGTTGAAGTCACCTGATGTGTAGAATTTTTTACATTCTGAATTTTCTTGATTATATCACCACTTAACATGTTTCTCCACACATGTTCTTCTAAATTGTAATCACATTGAGGGGTTTGGTCAGATCAGGTGTGATTTTGGGTTTTGGCATGAATAATTCACAGGTGTGCTGTATATATCCTTTTACAGCCTGTTGAGAGGCACATAACATCAGATTGTTTCATTTTTAGTAATGTTAAGATTGGTCATCGGGTTCATTCACTTGGTGAATGTGGGATCTATCCTTTTTAAAGTTTACAAACTATCTGATACAACCCCTGTTCTTGTTTTTTTTTTTTTTTTTTTGAGACAGAGTCTCACTCTGTTGCCCGGGCTAGAGTGCCATGGCGTCAGCCTAGCTCACAGCAACCTCACACTCCTGGGCTCAAGCAATCATGCTGCCTCAGCCTCCCAAGTAGCTGGGACTACAGGTGTGCACCACCATGCCTGGCTAATTTTTTTCTATATATATTAATTGGCCAATTAATTTCTTTCTATTTTTAGTTGAGACGGGGTCTCGCTCCTGCTCAGGCTGGTTTTGAACTCCTGACCTTGAGCGATTCTCCCGCCTCAGCCTCCCAGAGTGCTAAGATTACAGGCGTGAGCCACCGCGCCCGGCCACAACCCCTGTTGTTATCTAAGGGTTTTGGCAGTCACTGAGCATTGCCTAGATCTATTCTTTCATTAGGAGTTGCAACATGAAGATATTTTAATTCTATTATTCCTTCTTTATTCATTAGCTGAAACTTTTCTGTAAGAAAAAATAATTATTTGGGTACCCTGATACATATAGGTCCAACATAAAATGAGGGATAAATACTTGCTCTTTTCCTTTTCTGCTACATTTCAGAATAGTGAGTTGGTCCCAGCAGCCCCTTCCAAAGGTGACCAGTGAGGTTTGTTTTTTGAGGGGTGATTTTTTTTTTTCAGTTACCATTGTGAACACATGGATTTTTAACACATTTGATATGTTCAGTACATTACAGTAATTACTCTCTTTGTTGCTAAGACTGTTTTCATCTGTGGCCAAGGGGAACCCCTGCAGGTTGGCGCCTGTGTCCTTTCGACAAATCTCCAGTGGTTTTGATAGCTCCCCTGCCTCCGCCTCACAAGGTGTTTCAGGTCCACGCTGTACACGTCCTGTCTAGACCTGGAATCCACTCTTTCCTGCGGGGCTCTGCTTCCCTCCAGTGGGAAGTGCTATTTGGCAATCATAGTTTGGGCACTGGGGAGCTCACTGCTACTGGATCCATCCTGCAAACTTTTTGTTTCTGTCAAACGTGTTGGTTGAGATGGAATCATTTGACCACATCTAATTCTAATTCTAATTGCTGCTGCCACAGAAAACCCCTGCCTTCCACAGACACTTGCTGAGCCCTTGCTGTGTGGCAGATACCAGGCGAGCACTGTTAGGTGGCGGGGGTGGGATCAAGTGCAGTTGCTGCCCCAAGGAGCTCCCAGTCTGGGAGGGGACTCGTAGCGTGCCCTCGAAGAGCAGTCGTGGACAGAAAGTCAACGTACCGGGTTGGCAGAGCAGGAGACCGTTCTGGCTTTTCCTTCCTAGGGGCCCCACGTCGGTCAGACAGGAGCTTCTAGTTTTTCACCTTTCTCCTGTTCCCCTTCAGTTGGAGAAGAGATTGAGATGACCCCCATGGTGTTTGCCAAGGGTCTGGCTGACTCTGGCTGCTGGGGGGACAAGCTCTTTGGACGACTGGTGAGCGAGGAGCTCCGAGGGGCTGGGTATGGGTGTGGCCTTCGGAAGGCCTCCCAGGCCAAGGTCATCTACGGGCTGGAGCCCATCTTCGAGTCGGGCCGCACGTGCGTCATCAAAGTGTCCAGCCTGCTTGTGTTTGGGCCCAGCAGTGAGACTTCTCTTCTGGGCAGAAACTACGATGTCACCATCCAGGTAGTGTGCCCCGTCCTCACGCCCCATCCCTTTACTCTCTCACTTCCTCCCCTTTCCCAGCCTGGGTCCTGTTGGAAGGCCCAGTACAGAGGCAGGCGCCATCTCAGTCTCGACCATACGAGGGTCCTAGAATGGACCTCCAGGAGAGCCTGAGGTGTAGCCAGAATCCAGGTGCTCGGCCTCTGAGGACTTGAGAGCTTCAGAACCCTTTGGGCCATGGTTTTCAAGCTGCATATTTGCAGCAGAAACCTTTCCCCTGCCTCAAACATAGTTTCTCATGGCAGCTGCATTTCCGTGTGCAGTGAAAGGGGAGTGATGTGGGTGGGGTGGGTGGTCGGCCCTGCTCTCCAGAGCGGTCCCTGGGGCACTGCCACCTATCATCAGGGCTTCAGGAAACATAGTTGGGAAACCACTTTGAAAACCTCAGTTTGAAAAGAAGTCCAAAGCCCCTTCTTATCCAAACGGGGAAAATGAGGCACAGAGTTGGAGGGGAAGGAGTGAGCCCACCTCCCCCGGGGCTGGAGTCCTGCCTGCCGTCCCCCGCGGGCGGCCCACCCACTTAGAGCCAAGGACAGTAGAGAACTGGGGGCTTCTCTGCTGATCAGATTTGGTTCCCTCTAATCTGCAGGGCTGCAAGATCCAGAATATGAGTCGAGAGTACTGCAAAATCTTTGCGGCTGAAGCCCGTGCGGCGCCCGGCTTCGGGGAGGTGCCTGAGTGAGTGTGCAGGGGGCGTGCAGTGGCAGAACTGTTGCCTGAGCTTCTTCAAAGACAGCGGTTTCACAGCCCCCAGGGCCATCCCGAGTGACGGCTATGTGCAGATAGGCTCACAGCTAACCCCTCGCTCAGCTCAATGGTCCCCTCAAATCTAGAAATAAAGACCTCAGGACCCACTCCCCACTTGAGAAAGGTCTCTGCTCCGGTTGGAGTATCTCCCCACCCGCCCCGATTCCCCACTCTCTAGCTCGGATTCTGCTGATGGCAGAGTTTGGGCCCAGCAGATTGCGGGTCTCTGTGAAGGTGACGGGGTGGGCTGAGCTAGGCAAGCTGATCGGGACTCTCTGCCTAGGCAGCAGGTGGATTTTTGTAGGAGTCAGCTACAAGCGGTGATTGTTTCCGTTTTGAGACTTGAACTCTGACTCTTTCATATCTAGATTCTGACTGGCAGTGAGCCCCAGTCTGACTCTTTGGGGGTGTCCTTGCTGTGGACACACACTGCCCTCAGTGCCTCATCCAAGCACAGTGCTTGCCGGTGGCCACAGCAGGGTGTGGTTCTAAAACCACCAACCACAGAGCGAGGACTGGGCTCTGAAGCCCGTGGCCTCCATTTCCTTTCCTGAGCTCAGGGTGGAGCTGCGCCCACGACTCAGCCCCCACTCCCCACCCCCACCTCAGCCCTGCTGTCCTCCAGGCTCAGAGCTGACAATGCCAGTCTTGGAAGGGCCCTTCTTTTAGATTCAAGAATACAGAATTGGGTGGGAGGGAGGAGCTCTCTGGGCCATAATTCCTGCTCACGGCAGGGCCAAACTGTGTTTAGGATCATCCCGCTGTATCTGATCTACCGGCCTGCAAACAACATCCCCTATGCTACCCTGGAGGAGGACCTGGGCAAGCCCCTGGAGTCTTACTGTTCCCGGGAATGGGGCTGCGCCGGGGCTCCAGCAGCGTCCAGCAGCTTTGAGGTCGTGCAGAAGTGCCAGACCTTCCAGCACTGGCTGTATCAGTGGACGAATGGCAGCTTCCTTGTCACAGACCTGGCAGGTATGAGGGTGTGAGGATGCGCACGTGCAGGGATGTGAGCGCGTGCAGAGGAGGCAGAGCCCTAGTGATTGTTTGTTTACAAAGCACTCTGTGTCTGTTCTTTTTGACTTTGCACAATAACCCTATAGAGTAGACAGGTCATGGGCCGTTTCTGATACAACCCTAACACGCACCAGAGACTCGTGTAGCCCCACCTACAACTACAGTTGCATTTAAAGAAGTGTGGTCCAGGCCTACTTAAAATTAAAAACAAATTCATCTCAAAGAACATTACATGGGATCTAATTAAAAACCCACAACCACCCTTTCCAAAATCTCCCTTCCTCCCTTCCTTCCCCGTGGCTTTGCTCTGGACTTTGGCTCCTCAAACTTCCCAGACCCTCTCTCCCATCCTGGCAGGAGTAGCTTCACTATCTCTCTTCCTCCTCTTCCTTTTCCTCCTCCTCCTCTTCCTTCTCTGCTAGCTTTCTGTTATGTAAGCCAACTTTGGCTTCCTTTTAGTTTGATTTATATGACCCCCATTGCCCAGAAACTCCCCAGCACAGGAAGGCCAGCGAGCATGAACCGCCTTCCTCCCCAGAGCGTCCGCCAGGCCCGCCCTGACCTCAGCCGGGTGTGGAGAGGAAAAGAGAAAATGCTCAGTGGGAGGAGGAGAGGTTTCTGGGAATATCACACATTAGCACATCTTGTTCCTGAGGCAAACAAGTGAGAAAACCAAGGGTCAGAGATACAAAACTGACTCCAATGTGCTTTTCATCGGGGTTAAATTGTACAGTAATTACTGTATATAACTCCGTATGTTGGGGGTGAGGGAGCGAAGTAACACATTAAGCCTTTATCAGCCGATCCATTTATTAACTTACACATTCATGCTTCCAGCTCTCTTCAATCCAACCATGACTAAATACTGAGAAGATACAAGATGAATTAGCAATAGTCATTGTCCTCAAGAAGCTGTGATTAAGTAGGCCTATTTGTACCGTAAGATAGTAACATGGTGTAGTAGAAAGACTTTGGAGTCAAAGAAATTTCATTTACGTCTAAGCCCCGTTGTTTTCTAGCTGAGCGAGTCTCTCTCTGTTTTATAAAGAAGGAAACGAAAGCTCAGACAGGTTAGGGCATTCATCTCTCAGAGCTGCAGCGTCCTTTCCCTGTCCAGGGATGACGTCTTCCCTACTTCTCCCCCTGACTCGTTATGAGGATCGAGTGAGACCCCATTTGTGAGAACCTTCTGCATATTGAAATTCCAGGCCATCCACGACAACAAGAAATGTCATGCCGTGGATGCCAACAGAAACATGACAAAGGAGTTAGCGTGTGTCACGTAACTACTGTGTTTCAGACACTGAGTTAGAGTCCTGCACACGCGATGACCTTCTCAGCACCCCTTCGAGACGGGCCTCGTCATCCCCACCTTTACAGTTGAGGGCTGGAGAGGTGAAGTCACTGGCCACATTCACCCCGCTCAGAGTGACAGAGCTGAGGTGTAGATCCAGGCCTGTCTGGCTCTGGAGCCCACGTTTGTTCTGCTCTTTCGTATGTTGGTGCCCAACCCTGTCGCTGAAAGGCAGGTTCCTAGAAAAATGCCCTGGGCAGTTTGAAAATGGGGAGAGAAGATCACAGACCTGACACAGGAATGCTAGGAGCCTTGGGTGGAGTGACCAGGACAATTTTTTTCTCTCCCCATTCCTGTCTCTGTTCTTTGAGGCCGCCTTCACCTGGAGGCACACCTTGGCCCCTGCCTGCCTGCTCGCTGCCCCCGAGTCGTGTTCTCCGCCCACCCGTCTACCCTCACGCTCCCAGCCCCTCTCCTGTCCCGTTGCACCACTCATGTCACAGGAGGGGCGAGGTCCTAGCTCAAAGCCAGAGGCCAGGCCAGTAGTGACCCGGTCTGATCCAGGACAGGCAGGACTGCGTAGCAGGAAGAGCTGCGGCTCTAGAAGTGAGGAAGACCGAACTCTTGCTGTGACTCACAGTGGCCACTGCACATAGTCAGTGCTCAATTACTGAATGAAAGCACAAGCGTGACTGTGCTCAGGTCGCTTAACTCCGAGCCTGTCTCCCCTCTTGTAAAAACGGCTGTACTGTTCCCGGTAATGACACAGGTCTGCGCGGCCTGGGAGACAGGCTGGTGGTGCTGGCCGGTGGGGGGACGCCTGAAGGTGGCTTCACTGAGTCCCGGGAGGTTCCCGTCTGGTCTGAGGTGATGTCTGTGCTGGGGACGTGGGGACGCGCGAGTGTAGGGCCAGCCCTTACCTCTCTCTCCTCCCAGGGGCTGACTGGAAGATGACTGACGTGCAGATTGCTACCAAACTACGAGGGTGAGTGGCTCGTGGGACAGAACGCCCTGGGAGAGTCTTCTTAGGGTGGAAAATGTCCCACGTCCTTTTGCTTCTCCATCCCTGAGGAGCTGGGCCTGGTGCCAAATAGTCCCAGTCACACCATGGCCACGTGGGAGCATCCTAGGGGCCACCGATCCCAGGTCTGGACCGGCCGCTGTTGCCGATGCCCGCACACAGGGTCCTCGCCGTGCTCTGCTGCCTCCCCGGCCCTCGGGAGTGCTCGCGGCACGCAGAGGAGCGGGGCCCTGTGCTTACCGTGCTGGCCCGAGGCTGCCCCGGCTCGTGTTAAAAGGGCAAACAATGCTCACACCAGTATGTCCCACATGTGAATTCTACATGTCAGACCATAATGACACCACAGCTGTAAAATTCAGGGTTTGTCACCCAGGGGAGACTCCCCATCACCCTCGGGTAGGGCAGGATGTACCCTGGGCATGGCACCCTGACGGTAGCCATCCCAAAGCAGCCCCCCGAGGGACTCCGCTGTGGGTGGGGGCGAGCGTCAGTTCCTGTCTGGCTGCAGATACCAAGGCCTCAAGGAGAGCTGCTTCCCCGCGCTGCTGGACCAGTTCGCCGCCGCGCACCAGTGCAGCGCCTACTGCGAGATGCTGGGGCTCCAAGCCCTCAAGGGCCCGGAGGCTGCCCACCCCCAAGCCAAGGCCAAAGGTTCCAAGAGTCCATCTGCTGGCAGGAAGGGCCCCCAGCTGAGCCCTCAGCCTCACAAGAAAGGCCTCCCTAGTCCCCAGGGCACCCGGAAGAGTGCCCCAAGCTCCAAGGCCACCCCTCAGGCCACAGAGGCAGTCGCCGTCCAGTTGTTGGGACAGCCTCCCAGCCAAGAGGTGGGCTCCAAGGCCCAGGGCATGCGGTAGCCCGGACAGGAGGCTGGGGGCCTCCACCCAGCAGCAGACCAACCAAGAAGCAGCTTGAACCGGATGGAGACTTTCCTAACACAGAACTAACCAGAGAAGGCGTGCTAAGGAGGCACCACTTGGGGACCTCTCTGAGCAGCCCCTCGATCAGCTCCTCACCGATGGCGTTGGTGCCCGGCACTCAGCCCACCGGCCTCTTCTGGCGCCGTCATCACCCCGGGCTCCCAGGCCTCGAGCGGGCCCCACCTCCAAGTGCCTGGCGGCCTAGGCCCTCCTTGAAGTTTACACTTGCCACTGTTGGAGGCTCTCCTGCGTCCTCTGCATGCGTTCTGTGGCCCGGCCTCGCCCCAGACAGATCCTGCAGCAAGTGTTGTGCCCGCGTGCCCTTGCCTGGCCCTGGTCTCCCTGTCCTCGGGGCTCCACACCTCCTGTGCCGGGTCTGCCCTGGTGACTCTCAGGGTGTCTTCTCTTTCCACCTCCTCTGGCTCATGCATCCCAGCCTATCCTGCCACTAACCTGCCGCTGAGCCCAGATGGGGCTCAGGGCCCTTCCAGAGCCTGTCGTATCCTTGTGCAGTGGCCTTTGATGATGCGTGTTCATGCTCTTCCTTCCCCATCACTCACTGCCCTGCTCCTCACACCCACCGCACATCCCGGCTGTGAGCCCAGTGCCAGCCTGCCGCCTGCCCTGCACCCACTCTTCGCTTGTCCCTTCGCCTGGGGGCTCCCTTGCCCTGACCCCACACCCTGCCCACCAATGCCCAGGTGAGGAAACCCTCGGGCGCCTCCCTCCACCCCAGCTCACCCTTCCCCACTCCTCCCAGGCTCTGTGCTCATGGGGTGAGAGCTGGCTTGAGGGCTGTGTCAGCAGCTGTAGCCAGAGGGAGGGGTTGACTTTGAGCAACCCTGTGCTCCATGCTGAAAGGGGTGGGGTCACAGGGAACCGCACAACCAGGGGTGGAGGGCTGGGACCCTCTCCACGGGGGAGTACACGGTGTGTGCAGGGAAGGACGCAGTCTCTCCATGCACTTGGGTGGAGGGGCGTCTCTGGGTCTGGAAATTAGGACCTCTGCCCCCAACCATTGTTAGCTCTTGACCTGGGGCTCCAACTGGCCCTTGTGTTGGGCTCCCAAGGAATTTCTGTGCTGGCTCCAGCACCCTGGCTTCCTCCTGAGCACCCTCCTTGAGGCCTGGGGTGGGGTAGGTCTGGGCTAGCCGGCTGCCCTTGGAATGCAGTGACGGCAGCACCTGTGCATCCCGCTTGCCCTGGCTGGTGTGGGTAGAGCACACGGAGTCAGGGCACCCTCCCCCCAGCCAGGCTTTCTGAGGGCGCCCTGTATCCCTGGGCTTGCTGGGAGAATGAATCTATGTTTTGGCTCCTGGACGCAAGTTCAGTCTCAGCCTTCTGTGGCCACAGCTAGACAGTCTGTGCTTCTTGTCCAACTGAGCTGATGGCTTGTGCCCTCAGGGGCCTATGCCTTTGGAATTGCTCCTTCGCTTGGAAGAAGAACACAAAGGAAGGAACCCAGGAAGGAAGAGCGGGACGGGGCCTGTGCAGAAATGCTCTGCGCCTCCGGCTGCCTCCCTGCCCAAGACCGTCCCAGGAGACCGGCAGCACCTGCTCCCAGCCGCGCTGTTTCCTGCCTCTTCTCGTTCCCAGCCCCACCCCTCACTCCCCGTGGGGGCCTTCCCCTGCCTGACATCTCCCTCCGTTTTGACATTTCTGACTTGTCTACCTCCTCTTGTGCTCAGGTGACCCCTCACTTTCTCCTCTTGCCTCAGTGTGACCCCAACTCTCCCAGCCTGCATAACCAGATTACTTTGGTGAACTGAGAATTGGAGTATTGTTCGTTCATTCTTTCATTCACCCACTCACTCAGCAGACAGAAGCTGAGCACCTGCTCTTGCTAGACCCTGGGCTCGCAGCTGCTGGGAGGCAAAGCTGTACCAGGCAGTCTTAGGAGACAACTGTTGATCCGTTAGGATTCTTGGGGTTTGAGCAACAGAAATGAACTTGGACCAACCTAAGCAAGGAAAAGGGTGCATGGGAAGGATGTTTGGCTGGTTCGCAGAGCCAAAAGCATAGCTGAACAATTAGCCACGAGAAGGGTGGGCGCCAGGACAGCTCGGGGACCTGCCTCCCAGGAGCTGCTGCGGTCAGCTCGTCAACACCCGCCTGCCGTTGTGGGTCTCCTTCCGCTCAGGCAGGGGTCCTCAAACTTTTTAAACGGGGCCAGTTCACTGTTCCTCAGACGGTTGGAGGGCCGGACTATAGTTTTAAAAAAACTATGAACGAATTCCTGTGCACACTGCACGTAATTTATTTTGAAGTATAAAAATAAACAGGAAAAAAAACACAAACCAACAGGTGGCCCGTGGGCCATAGTTTGAGGACACCTGCACTCAGGATTCAAGTTCCAGGTCGGAGAGTCTGGCCTGGAGCTCAAGGCCTCACAGAGTGGGGGAGAGGCAGTTTCCCAAAGGATGGGTGCTCTTCCCAGAAGAATGGTGGAAAGTGGAAGGACAGAAAGGGTTTAGTAGGCGAAACCCAGACACTGCCTGACACACACACACACTATCCCCACCTGATGTGTCACGACTCTCCCGTATACAACCAAAACCAAATTCCTCTCTGCTTAGGGAATTCAAGGTCATATCCAACTACTAAGTCCAGGGGTAATGACAGGGCTACTGTTCTCCAAAGCCCAGTGTCACTAGTGATAATATTCTCCTTTTAGTTTTAGCACAATCCCATTGTGAAATTCTGTACCCTGTGGATTAACTGGTAAAGTTAACCATAGTCAACCAAAACTATATAACCTGGCAAGAAAGGAAGTATGCGTGAAGTCTACTGTCCATGTCTATAGCTGGCCATGAGAACTAGTGTATATGGTTATGAATTTTTGGCCTGTTGGAGTGACCCAGATCTTCAGTTCTGAAGTCCAGCTCCTTGGCAGTCCTGCCTGTGTGACAGGCATTAACTGTTGGATGCGGCAGCGCCAGGAAGCTCTCCCGGAACCTGCCACGTCCATCTTTGCCCTGCCCCAGTAGCGTTCATCATCCTAGCTCCGCCCATGACCTCCTGTTATCTGTCACCCAGAGATGTAAGGAGCCTGAAATAGCTAGGTGGCTGCCTTGCTTCCAATTCCATTGAATCCTTACTATGTCTTTGAGGATGTGTCTCCTCCTTGGGGACTAAAACCTCTACACTAGCCTGGTCCCAGAGCTCAGGTATGAGGGAAGCATGGAGATGTAGCGAAGCACGTCTGTCTCCACGCTGCTTCCCAGCCCTGCAGCAGAAGCAGCACCACCATGTGCTGGTTGCCAGCTCAGAGCTTATGCCGCCTCCTGCAGGCCTGAACCAGGCTCGCAAGACCCTGTTTCTGGTGCCACAGAGAGTTGTCAACAAACCATGAAATCTGTGCTGTCAAGCCAGCTGCTTCCGGATAGTGGGAGTCCTGACGAGATGAGGGAATGCCCTCCGCATCCACCCATCGCTTTGCTTTTGCCATAAAGCACGTTCTTTGGTTGAACGTCATATGTGAGGATACCACAGTGATATTCATGGCATTTCATAATTACAGGGATACTGAGAGTGGCAGAGGAATGATGGGTATGGAGAATAAATCCAAATCCAGAACAAGGGCCCCAGATGGTCAAGACAAACGACCGCTCTCTCTCAGGGCCGCAGGTGTGGACCGAGGGATGCTCAGCAGTACGGCGGGAGGCAGTGGCGCGACAGTGAGCATGTGGCCCACACGCGACTGACTTGTGCCTCCAGAGCCTCAGCCTGGAGCGACAATGTCCACCTCATGATGTGGTGCTGCTGGCCGTGCCCGGCTTTAGGGCTAGGTGAATCAGATAACCCCGCATCCTGAGGGGCAGTGTGGCCACCGAGTGTGCTACAGCCAAGCATTTAGGCTCTCCCAGAGCCCAGTGGGGAGCCAGAGCCTCTGTCATCCTGGGTTGAGTGCAGTGGCGTCAGCCTAGCTCACAGCAACCTCAAACTCCTGGGCTCAAGCAATACTGCTTCAGCCTCCCAGGTAGCTGGGACTACAGGTGCACACCATGACACCAGCTAATTTTTCTATTTTTAGTAGAGACGGGGTCTCACTCTTGCTCATGCTGGCCTTGAACTCCTGAGCTCAAGCAATTGTGCCACCTTGGCCTCCCAGTACTAGGGTTATAGGCGTGAGCCACCGCGCCAGAGGGGCCTTTCTTAAAGGGATAACAGCTGCTTATTGGCCAGAGCATTAATTGGTTCCAAACCCTGGGTTCCTCTGCCATATTTTTCTTATTAGGACTTACCCCAAGCTCCATCTACCACTGTGCTCTGCCACAGGCTCTGTGTGGCTCTCCGGGATGCCACAGACAGACACATACCTCAAGTACCAGTGACTCTGCCGGGTCTTGGGGCCTGGTGCAGAAGCAGTTGCACGAAAGGCTTTCCCAGCTGCAGACACTTCACTTGCTCTGGGCCCAACCCCCAGCGGCAGGCTGCTAAGCCACTTAGTCAGTAATGGATTGGAGAAAGATGCCCCAAAGTGACATATATTGCCTAGAATTAGACCTTAGTGGCAAAGGGCTACAAATTACTTGAAGTAATTTGTCTTACATTATATAAAGGAAATATTCTGACCTCAAGCAGGCCTCTCAACCCCTAGAACTTTATTTATTTAGAGACAGAGTCTCACTTTGTTGCCCAGGCTAGAGTGAGTGCCGTGTTGTCAGCCTAGCTCACAGCAACCTCAAACTCCTGGGCTCAAGCAATCCTACTGCCTCAGCCTCCCGAGTAGCTGGGACTACAGGCATGCGCCACCATGCTCAGCTAATTTTTCTATATATATATTAGTTGGCCAATTGATTTCTTTCTATTTGTAGTAGAGACAGGGTCTCGCTGTTGCTCAGGCTGGTTTCGAACTCCTGACCTTGAGCAATCCGCCCGCCTTGGCCTCCCAGAGTGCTAGGTGTGAGCCACCGCGCCCGGCTAACCCCTAGAACTTTATTGAGGGGGCAGATCCTTGCACTTTTGTGATTTATCTCCGTCTCTGATTCAAGTACATTTTGCCAAGGCACGCAGGGAAACTACTGACTTCCTATCCTTTCTGTGGTTCCCAGATAAGTGGACACAGATCCTTCTGGGGAAGGCTGCAAGGAAGTTTCACAACACGCATTGGAGTGTTACAATAAGGTTTTCCTTCAAAAAGATATTTGACTTCCTCTCCATTTAAGGTCTGGAAGCCAAGTGAGAGATCTTCACTTTACCTTGGCACCTTGAGACAGACCTGTTTGCCCAGCTGGAAGTCGTTAGTTACAGGGATTACTAGGCAGTGCCTGCGGGATGCCTGGCCTTGTCCACTCCTGGGACCCCGTGACTGATTAACCACCACGTCCATCGTGGTGAGCACCCTACTTTGTTCCCCTGCCTATCTCTGCCGCTGAGGTCAGGGGCTCATTTTCACAGCAGCTCTTCCAGCCAGCGATCCAGGCCTGGAGAGGAAGAGCAGCAGAGCCTCCTGGACTTTTCTCACGGCGAGGAGGGAGCCCATCCTCCGGGTCCTGCAGGAGGACTGAGTGGGTGAATGGGCTGGATCCATGCCAGCGACCCAATAAAGCATTTTTGTCTGCTGAAATCTTTGAATTCATGCCTTTCTTGGATTTGGAGTATTTTGATATAATTTAGCATGGGCCCACATATGTACTATCCCAGCCCCCCTATAATGGCAAGAACTGTATCTGGCTGTTTGAGTTTCTCCATAGAACGTAGAATCTCTGGTATGTGCACATATCAATAAAGACAACCTGAGTCAAAATATTGTTCTGCTCATCTTGGTCAAACAGCCTTTAACCACTTCGGTACCAGTGTCAACTATAGTCGACAGCCACAGATGAACGCGCACAGCGACTGTAGCTGACAGCCGTGATAGGACTTTTCTAATTTTTCATTTATCAAAATAAAATTGTGAACATTTAAAAATAACATGGTGAAAACATATATGTATATGTTACCTATTCTGATTTACGTTACAAGTAAAGCTGCCTGTAAAGCAAAACAAGCTGTCAGTGCTTTCAAGCTTTCCTCCTCACACAAGAGCAAAACGGACTCGTCGTCGGTGCGCAGCGCACGCTATCGTGCGGGCTGTGAGTGCGGCTGTGGGCGAGGTTTCGTGGCCGTGAGCGCCGTACCAGAGGGGTTAAAAAGTTTCCATAAATGTCCCCTCTATTTTTTGACAGTAGAGTCACTAGTTCATGTGGTTTCTTCTGGATGTAGCTCTTCTCTTTCCTGGTCTGAGCCTGCCTCGTCCTCCGGCCGTGCGGAGTGTGGGCTCCGTCACGGGCACAGCAGCCGCGTAGTGCGGGCAGGAGGGGAGAGAAAGGCACTTCCTTGGCAATGGAGGTCAGGAGAAAATCCTCCTGAAGGATTGTGTTCAGGCTTGTCATGTCCTCTGACGACTCCCAGATATCACTAGTCCAGTTGACAGAATTCCACCCCGTTCTGAGACTGGGTGAGGTTATGAACTCAACTGCCGGCGAATTTGGCAATTTTGCAGAATCAGTCTCCGGATTTGTTTTTATTAATAGACACACTCAATGGCTACAGCAAGCAGGAAGGGGATTTCTACGCAGTTAATAGAAAGGTCCCCAGTGTCATCCCACGCCCTGTGGTAAGAGGACCTCGATTATCACCCGCTAGCTTTAGAAGGTATCTGGTGATGTACAAAGGCCACTACTTTCCCTTCCCTGGATATGGGCAGGAGTTTCACCACCCTTCCCCGTCTCACCTACAAAACAAATTCCCAAAACCTTCATTTCCTGGGCCAGGGGGAGTCTGTCCA